TTAGAGGAAGACAAACCTCTGCTGTTATTACAACACCAGTCAGCTCTGAGCAAGGGACCCGTGTGACGGCGCAGAGTCGGCTCTGAGCAAGAGACCCATGTCACGGAGCAGAGCCAGCTCTGAGCAAGGGACCCTGTGACGGAGCAGAGCCAGCTCTGAAGATGTGGACCTGTGTGACAGAGACAAGCCGGCCCTGAGGAAGGGGACCAGTGTGATGGAGCAGAGCCGGATTCCAGCTGGGGGATCCCATGTGACCGAGCTGAGCTGCACCAAGAGTTTTCCAGGCTGTGGTCTTTGGAAAGAGCAGGTGTATGTAGCTTTTTTCCTTGTTTTTTTGTGATTTGAGTTGACTGTGACTCACAGGGGCCCTGTGCATAACAGAGGAACCCTGCCCAGCCCTGCTCCAGCGGCACAGTCCTTTCTGAGCTGGAGCCCAAGGCAGCAGCTGCTGTCAGTCCAACCTGGGGACGCCCACCTTCGCTCCTCGGTGGGGGTCCGTCTTGGGGCGGGTCATCTTCTCCGGCCCTCCACTTTACCAGGCATGTCATCCTTCCCGACAACATGCTCAAAGCACGTGATGAGACCCATGCGTCCCGGATTCTAAGGAGCACCCCAGCTGCATCTCCTCCAGGTCCACAGTGCGTTTAAAATTCTCTGTCAGCATCGTAGTTCAAAGGCATCAATTCCCCCACCTTCCTTATTCACTGTCCACGGTCTCCCTCTGCACACTGGAAACACCTGGATTGGGGTCAGGAGCATCTGTGTCCTTAAAAGGGGCATCTTTCCCTCTGAACACGAGGAGACCTGTGCACGACTTGCCTCACACAGCATGGCCTTTGGCTTCCGAATGCTGTTTCCTGGCTGGCTGTGGATCCTGTCAGATGGAATCCCTGACCACAGCCCTCGCTTCCCTTGCATCACGGTGCTGGACCACAGCCTCAACAGGAGGTAACTAACAGCAGGTCCTGGCCCATGTGCCAGTGGTTCTCTTGGGCCTGCCTGACCTTCCCCACACTGTCTGCCCTGGCCACCCTGACATGTTCATCGTCACAAGGAGAGGACTGTCCACTACGGGTGGAGACGTCCCACAGATGGGTGTCCCAGAAAGGCTGCTGAGGACTGTCTACCATCAACAGAGATGCCCCACAGCACAGGCAGGACCAGCCCCAGCAGTCCACCTTTTGGTGACCCCTCTGTAGGCAGGGCAGCTCCTCTGTGCTGACACAAGATGCCCTCTCAAAGATGACTATGAACACCAAGTCCCCCAGGCCACCATGGCCACCAAAGCTAAGAGTGGGTCACATCTCCATGGTCGCATAGAGGAGGGACAGAGACGCCAAAGGTGTGAGACACCTGCCATGCCTGAACTCACCAAGGCTCACTGTCACTGTTGTGTGCTGTTGAGTCACAACCAACCCACAGCTGACCCTCCAGCAGTTGTCAGAAGCACAGAAGGAAATTGTCCATCCCTCTCCCACAGAGCAGCTGGTGGATTTGAACTGTGTGCCTCTGGGATCATAGTGCAGCTTCTCACCACCAGACCACTAGAACTCCCTCACCTTAACTTCAGTCAAACAACAGACCACCAGGGGGTACGCCCTCAGTGGGACACACAACCCCAGGGGCTCAGGAGGAACAGCCATGCAGGGAGAGCGAGCGCAGTGACAGGAACGACAGGGGGAGGATGAGGGGAAAGAGAAACCCAGTGAGGAGGAGGGACGAGTGCTGCACCACGGTGAGGATGGCCATCGCATCACAAATCCGGATGTGTGCGGGCTGCTGGACAGACACTCAAATCCACACCAACAAGTCCAAGGCAGCAGCAAAGCCCATGAGAAGGTGCTGTGAGCCAAGGACGGGACCCCCGTTCCATTCTCACACCCAGTCACTAGCTCCTCACCCGCCCCACCCCCACCCCTCTGTTCATACCCCTGGAAAAAAGGCCAGACATTCGTGTCCACTTCCACAGCAGAAAGGACAGAGCCTCCCTGGCAGGCAGTGGCCAGGTAAACCAGCCCAGAGAAGTTGGCTCCCTGACCCTGGTGAGCACAGTGACCACGGTGAGCACAGTGGCCAAGGTGAGTGAGCACAGTGACCACGGTGAGTGAGCACAGTGACCACGGTGAGCACAGTGGCCAAGGTGAGTGAGCACAGTGACCACAGCGAGCTATGCAGCAGCTCCCTGCACCCAGAGCATCACGCAGTGTGAGTGGCTTCTGGCCACGGCCCATTCCCCACATGCTCCTATGGTTTTCCAAGGAGAGGCCTCAGGTCCCCTGGGAGGCCCTTGGGTGGCAGGAAATAACCTACCACTGTCCACTTTAGTCATCTCAGGAGACAAGAGGGCCAGTAGGGTCTGTGGCCAAGGGGACACTCTCACACAGAGGCAGCTGGCCCTTGGCCCTAGCTGGCTCTGGCCTCACTGATCAGGCTGGCACTTCGAAAGACAAGACGATGCAGACTTTACCATCAGCTCTGATTTCACCGTTAACTCAAGTTTTTCAAAAGCTCCACAGGCTTCTGAATGGAGTCTGTCCTCCAACACCAATTTTTAAATCAGTGTGTTGCTAAAATCTGTGGTAAAAAAAAAGTACTTCCATCCTTAAGCCAGTCCATGCAGCTCCTGGCCCATGAAGTGTTCGAGTTACGATGAACCACATTCGTGACAATTTCTGGGTTTAAAACATCTTCAGTGCACTACCTACTGTGTTGCAACATGTAGTTTTCTGGTGTCGCCAACTCCTAAGGACAAATACTGAATAACAGATTTCCAGACATTTAAAAAGTCAGTAACAGTGAAAATGCTGAAAACATGAGCTACTTGCCTGTGCTGTGGCAGAGGGCCCTCAAGGTCACACATTCACAGGGGGAGACACATCAGTAGAGCCACTTCCCCAGGCCAGGAGAGGGGCATTCGATCGTGCCAAGCAGTGATAACTGACGAGAAGGGTCCCCTTTCCAACTCGAGTCAGAATGACTCACAGCTGGATTTCTGAAGTTGAAGTTGCAAATTGCATGGGGGGGCGGGGCGAGTAGAGACTGACCATGTTTCTCCCATGGAGCTGCTGGTGGATTTGAACAGCCTGCCTCTGCAATGGCAGCATAACTCCTCACCACTAGGCCACCAGTGTTCCCTCTCTTAATGTCAGTGAATGGAAAGGACCATGTTCTGCTGGATTTTTCACAGGCTGGCTCTGTGGTGGAAGCCTCCTCTTCTGTGCAGGAGACACAGGTTTGATTCCTGCCGGTGCACAGCCACTGCTGCCTGCCAGGGCAGGCTTGTGTGTTTTTTCAGCAGACCCCCAGACAGAGAGGCTAGGAAGAAAGGCCTGCAGATTAGCTTCTGGAAATCAGCCTCAAACAAGAGCCTGACCATGTGGACGGGGAAGCACCAGGCAGAGCTGTCCAGGGTGCAAGGATCTCTGTGAGTCAGGTCCAGACTCAGCAGCTAACAAGGAGAGGACAGAATTGCTAGGCAGGAGGGGTAGAGCCCTCCCCACCATGGCCCCGGCAGAGCATGACAGGACATGTGGAGCATGGAAAAGCCTGCTGACATGTCCTTCAGATAGTCCGGCTCTGGTCTCCCTCTCAGAGCACAGTGAGCCCCCCACAGCCCTTGAGATAAAGTCACCCAAGTTCCAGACCCAGGTCGCAGGCGTCCTTGGTAAGAGCTGCACTGGGATAACGAAGCACTTTTATAAGAATTCTACCTCAGCCCCTGGACCAGCCAGTGGCTAGTGAGGCCCTGGGCTCTGGAGAAGCCAGGGCGGTGCCCTGAGGGTGTGAAGAGCACAGGTGCCTCCATCTGTAGGCTTCAGACACTGAACAGAATCTCACCTGCCTGCCCCAGGACTGGTCCCCCACTCCCCGCACACCTATATTTCAAGATCACTTGTAAAAGGAGTGAGTTCCCCACCTTCAGGGCCAGTGACACTGCCTGAGAACTCTTCCTGGGGCTGTGCCCTCGAGGGGCAGGTTGCAGCTGTATGCTGGAGGTGTGCACCTGTCAAAGGGCTCACTCCCTCCCTCGTCCACTGATGCGTTTATGCACTCACACTCTCACCCCCTTCCTCACTCACCATGCACTCACCCTGTCTCACCCACTCACCCTCTTCCTCACTCACTCACACATCCTGTGAGATTTCTGTGTTACAGAGGAGCACGGTCTGGCTTCCATGTCCACACGGTAAACGCTGGTTCCTGCCCTGGTCAAGTCCCCTGTTCCTCTCTAGGAAGATGTTCTGGGCTTCCTGTCCCACCTTCCTCCAGCCCCTTGACTCTTCTGTCAGGAAACCCCAGAGCAAACACTGTTTCAATGTCAAGTATCACCCAACACTGTCTTGCCTTCCACATAGCTGTGATCTGGAGTAACATTTTTTAGATCATCAGATGCAGGGGTGGGCGTGAGGCTGAAATCTACTGGAAATACAATGAGTTGTGTGAAGTATTCAGTAGGCACTCTATGAGGAAGACTTTTTACACAATCTTGTCATTTCCGGAGCACATGGTGCCTAAAGCACTCAGATGCTAACGGAAAGGCCAGCAGTTCAAACTCACTAGCTGCTGTGCAGGAGGCAGATGTGGCCCCTGGAAACTGCCCACTGCACTCGGGCAGGTCAGGTCTCGCTGGTCCTGGATTGCTTCTGGGATCCACAGGACAGCAGTCCCCCTGCTGGGAAGGCGGGGGGGGGGGGGCTGCGTTAAGGGGATGCAGTTTGTGAAAGGTCAGGCCTTGCGGGCAGCAGCAGCTGGATGAGTGGATGCCCAAACAGGAGGACCTCAGAATCGATCATCGTGTGCCCTCTTTGCCTCTAGGCATGTGTGGGGAATCTGGAATCAGCCATCAGGTACTCCACTTGCCTCCCGGTGTGCAGAGGGATGCCAGAATTGGTCATCCTGCCTCCAGGTATGTGGCTTCTTCCAGGTTTATGAGGGGAACCTGGAATTGACCATCGTGTTCCCACACATGCCTCCAGGTGCGTGAAGTAGGTGGGACTCACCTCTGTGATGATGTAGAAGTCATCTCCAGGCTCTCCCTGGACCACGATCTTCTCTCCATCTTCAAACTGCACGGGTTCCAGGGCGTCAGCCACTGTCAAACGCTCCCATTTCTCCAGGGACTCTGGTGTGGGAAGGACAGGGAGGGAGTCAGTTGACCTGCCATGACTGGGCTCCCAGCTTCCTTAGAAAACAGAGCTGAGCTTTCCTGAGATGGACGAGGAACAAAACACAAAGGAGCCAATGTCACAAGAGCCCACAACCTGAGACCCTGTGCTGGGGGGTGGGTGGGGGGGCTTTTCATTTTGTTGTGATTTAGGAAGAGTTTACAGAGCAAACTGGTTTTCCATCCAACCAGCCACATCTATTTTATAAATTACAATCTCTACATTGGAATACTATTCCTCCCATTCCTTTCCTATGATTCCCACTTCCATTCATCCTCACTGGACCTTTCTATCTTCTGAGCATATTCCTCGCTAAATGCTGCCTATGCTCTTGTGTAGCCAATAGTTTAAGACAATGAGTGTCTGCCTAGGTCCTGTGTTCACTTTACAGGTGTGTCTGCTGTTGGGGGAGCCTTGGCAGCACAGTCCACAGGGAACTGACACCCTGCTAACCCAAAGGCCATATCCTACTGGTGGTCTGAATCCACAGCGTCTCCTTGGAAGGAGGGACCTTTCCTGTGCCTTCACCAGGAAGCCCTTGCAGGGTCAGTTAGGAGTCGGTTCTGACTTGGCAATGAGTTGGGTTCAGAGACGAGTTCTGTTCCAGGCTGGATAGGTTGTTAGGGGACTACATCTTGAGGTTGCACGGTCTCCACAGGACAGCAAGCCTGTCTGTCTTCATCAAGACCATGCACGCAGCTACCATTCCACCTGCCATAGACTGATGAGGCATCAAAACCAGGAGCTGTCAGAACTTCGAGAAAGCAGCAAGTGCAAAGAGTTTAACTCTGCAGGAAATATTCTGGCATCTTGAAAAGACAAGAGCTGTGTGCATTATGCAGCAACGTGCTCGTGGCTGAGCACCAGTCCATCTCTTCCGCTGGAGCCCACTCCCAGCTGCCCATGCACTGGGTCTCACAGCTGTACAACCCACGGGAGGAACCCTTCCATCTTCCCATGGAGGAACTACTGGTGGACTTGAGCCTTGGGGGTAAAAGAATTCAAAGTAGTTGAAGCAATTCCTTGTCCCTTCCTCGTCCCCTAACCCCACTGCCCACCAGACAGCTGTTAACAGAATGCAGTTACCTCAGTACAAAGCCAAGACACAGCTCCCCTCCCATGTTTCAGGTCAAAATACTTCACTGCAGTGCCAACTCTGACTTTAAAAGTCTGCAAATTCAATAGCTCTTTCTCCCACCTCTTCTCACACGTTCTCTTCTCTAATGCGCAGGAAGCGAAAAAATAATAATGCACTCCTTTCATTAGAAAAGACCTGCAGTCTTTCCTCTCCAGCCCACACTGATCAGGTGCTGTGCATCTCTGTCCTTTGATGCTGCTGTAACAGAGAGACCACAGGGGGTGGCTTCCACACACAGAAATCTGTTCTCTCAAGGTGCAGGAGGCAGAGGTTCACATTCCAAGCAGTGGCTCCAGGGAAGGCCTTCCTCCTTAGGGGCTCGGGAGGAAGGCCATGGTCATTAATCTTTTCGAGTTCAGGAGACTCTCAGCACAGAGACCCCGAGTCCCTACAACACACTATGCTCCTGACTCTTCTTTCCCGCTGACACTAAAGTGACCCCCTTCTCTGCCCACATCTCTCTCCTTTACCTGTCATAAAAGGGCAGCTCTGGTCCACAAGTTGTGCTGCTCCCCAAAGGCCACCTCATTCTGGACATTCAAATTCCCAGTGGTTCTTTGGGAGAAAAATGGGAAAACTTCCCCACAATTTACAGCCTTGGAAACCCAAGGGGGTCACTTGAGTCAGTTTCAGCTCAACAGTGAGCAGTTTTTTTTAATGCCCTAGAGAAGCTCCCTGTGCGTGTGATTGGTGCTGTGACCTCTGCCTCCCATTCTGGTCCCCCTCCAGCTGACTGGCTGATCACATCAGATCCCATCACTCCAGAAATGCCAAGCACTGACCAAGGCCCAGCCACGCTGGCATGAATTCTGAGAACACTTGATGGTGACGTTGCATATGTAGGACAGCTGCTAAAAATAAAGTACCAGGCAACTGAGATGTAGGTTAGGAGGGTTTTTGCTTCTGGGAAACTCCTGATGATACAGTGCATTGAAACAAGAGAGGCTTTGAGGTTCCAAGGTCTTTCTCCCGTGGAGCACGCAGAGGGTTTGCAGCTCCAAACCAAGTATGGGTGTGGAGGAGGTGAGACAAGGCACGCCACTTGGGAGGAGTCCTGAGGTACATCAGCTTTGACTCATAGGGGCCCTCTGTGGAAAGGGCAAACCCCTGCCCATCCCT